CCAATTCTGTTTAAAGCTTTCTCAAAGCAAAGGGGAAATAAATCAGAGACATTTTATGCAAATTATTTTGATTTTCATTAGGGAAAGAGGTCCTGGGTGATAAATTCTGAAATATTGGTCATACGGGAGGCTTGAAGCCACACGTTTCTCCCAGTCCCCAATGCAACCATTTCTGTCTACATAATCTAGCTCGGCTGTGAGACTAATACAGTGGGGTCTCTACTTAAGAACTTAATCCGTATTGGAAGGTGGTTCTCAAGTGGAAAAGTTCTTATGTAGAATCTGCATTTCCCATAGGAATGCATTGAAAACCATTTAATCCGTATCTGCTCTTTTCCGTCCATAGAAACTAATGGGAAGCTGCTATTCCGCCTTCTACCACTAGAGGGGGATTTTTTCTTTTTTTTCCCCTTAGGTCAGGGAACAGTGTTAAAAGCACTTCTGACGAAGCTAATTTTGAAGCAATGGACTGAAAACCAATTAATCTGTTCTGGCTGTTTTTTTGTTATGTAGAGGTGCGTTCGTACATTGAAGCATTAGTTCCCATAGGAACTAATGCAAAGCTGGTTAATACGTACTCTACCACTAGGGGGAGAACTTTTTTTTAACCTAAGATGACCTAAGGTTAAAAAAAGAGCAGGAAAGTTTTTTTTTCCTGTTCTTATCTGGATTTTTGTTCTCAAGTAGAAGCAAAATTTAGCAAATGGAGCTGTTCTTAAGTGGAATTGTTCTTAAGTAGGGACGTTCTTAAGTAGAGACCACACTGTAAAAGCATATAATTTTGGAATGACCCATGAGAAGCTGATGCACAGCCTGAGGAAGATGAATTATTGTTGAAAGCTCACTTGTTTTCTCTCTTAATGGTCGAATAAAAGTATCATCTGTTCCTGCATTTGTATTGTTTTGAAGACCATGTGGCCTTGTTGTTATTTTACCTCATTGAGATGCCTCAACATCCCAAGACAGTCAACATCAAATTAGAATGAGGCATTTACTTGGTATTTTTGTAGTCCCTATCCAGAAACGGACCAAGTTCAGCCTCCTGCCACAAGTCAAATATTTTGCCCCCAAAACTTTTTGCCACAAACAGCACCCACAGACATTTCTCCCTCTTCAAAAGGCTGTCCTTTGTGCAGATCAGTCACAAGTCGGATGGTGTGCCTGATTTCACAACCAGTGTTGCAGCAACGAGTGTAAACAACAACCTACCAAATGTGCAACCGCTCACACAATCGCTTTTGCACTCCTTGGATGAACAGGATCCTGCCCTCTAAACCATTTTCCTACTTACCCAATGGAGTGAACTGATGGGCAGGGCAAAGATTAAAAAAAACCCTTTGTGTCCTTAAAAAAATTGCACATGGAATTAGCGTGCCAACCCTAACCCTTTAAGAAGGCAGAGTGGTTGTTTTAAATAGAATTGTTCCAGTGTATGACGTTTAACTCAACTTCCTCAAAATAATACTGCTGTCATCGAATATAACAATTTGATTCTAGTCCTGTAGAAAGTAATTAAGTATACCAAATAAGAGCATAAATCCTTGCCTGGCGCATGTGTGATAAACAAGATTATCTGAGACTCTTTTTCCCCATCTTCATGAGTCTTTTTTCCCAATTGGTCTTGGAGAAGTGTTGTACATTTTTGACATTTACCTTCTTTTCATCTCTCTATTAAATGCACAAAATTACAAAACTGTCTGAAGAGTGGCCCCCTTCAGTGAGCTCTTCACAAGCGGTATGACTAGGATTGTCTGGTTGCCTCTTCATAATTCATTAGCCTGTACTT